TCCGAAGCGGGCGACGAGATTTCGATTCCGGCGACCGACAGCTTCTTACGGGCGACCCCCCAAACTTTCTTCATACCTTCTTTTAAGTGCCGACAAAAAGTTGCAGCCCTACTTATTGAGACGACATTTATTTTGTCAGGAGTGATCAGATGAGTTTAAAGTATTTTCTAGAGCAGCGGATGATGACTGAGGAGCATCAGAGATGATTATCTAAGCTACTGGGATATGATTTCTAGATTCAGTGTCGGCTAAAATTGGAGAACAAGGCATGTGACGCACTGTCAAGAAAGGTGGAGGAACCCCAATTGATAACCCTATTAATACCCTTGGCCTTAGATTGGGAAGCCTTGAGACAAGAGAGCGAAAGGGACAAGGAACTGAGGAAGATAATATTCGAGTTGCTGCAGGATCCTAACAATCATCTAGGATATGCATTGAGGGGATAACAGGTGCTCCACTAGGAGGGATTCGTGCTACCCAATTCGTTTGACTGTATTCTCAAGCTATTACAAGAGTCTCATGATAATGCAATCAGGGTCACTCAGGGGTGCAAAAGACCTACAATCGTCTGGCAGCAGAGCTTTATTAGGTGGAGATGCGCAAAGACGTGGAAGACTGATGACAAAATGTGATGTGTGCTAACGACACAAGTATTTGACCACGACACCAGGAGGGTTACTACAACCATTAGCATTACTTGGGAAAAAGTGACGATAGATTTTATTGAGGGTTTGTCACGGTCATAAGGGTTCATAGTAATCATGGTAGTCGTGGATCGCCTAAGTATGCACATTTCATTCCTTTACGAGATCCTTACACTGCGGTCTCAGTCAAGACGACGTCTATCCGAGAAGTGGTCCGTTTGCATGGGGTATTGGAATCGATTGTATCAGATAGGGACAAGATGTTCCCGGACCACTTCTGGAAAGAGATTTAGGTTCCGAGGGACAATCCTTAAAAGGAGCACCGCATATCATCCCCAGTCTGATGAGCAGACGGAGGTGGCCAACAAGAGCGTAGAGATATACCTGCGTTGTTTTGTATCTGATACGCCGAAGCTATTAGCTAAGTGGATTACATGGGTCGAATATTGGTATAACATCGGACCACACCGCAGCACAGATAACCCCTTTCAAGATATTGTATGTGTGAGATTCACCTCACTTGATATATTATAGGCATAATACCCCACCGGTATCGAACTTCGATCAGTACTTGAAAGAGAGGGACACAACACTAGCAGAGCTCAAGGGACATTTATTGAAAACTCAACAAATCATGAAGAGGAAGGTGGACTGACACAGGAGAGGTGCAATTTGAATCAGGATAGTCTACTTGAAATTGAGGCCTTACCGACATAAGACTTTGGCTAGGAGGAGAAGCAAGAAACTATCACTGTGATACTTTGAGCCTTATGAGATGATTGCATGAATTGAGACAATGGCCTACCATTTGAAGTTACTACCATCGTTTGCACTACATCGGTCTTCCATGTATCACAGTTGAGACGTGCGATTGGAAGTCATACACCCTTGTCTGCACTACCGCTGACATTGACAAAAGATTTGGAAGTGGTTCTAGAGCCGCTAGAGATCGAAGGAGTTTACTGAGGAGTAGGGGTAGAAAAGGAGGTATTGGTTAAGTGGGGTCCTTCTTGGGGCAGGGGCTAGTGTTTCGTTCGCTCCTAGATCGGCCCCTCCTAAACCGGTAGAAAGCAAAGGCCCTCCACAACAACAGGCGAGCCGATCCTGTTCGCGAGAAGAAGCGAGGCAGCAGTTTACTGAGACAGAAAAGGGCAGGGGGCAGGTAGGATCCATGAGAGGCTTAATTACAAACTCAAATAGGAGAAATTAAAAGAGGTTTGGAGGAAAGTTTTAAAGGAAAGTTTTCAAATCCCGTGGGACAATTCTATTAAGGGGAGGAACCTAGCGTTTGTTGTTGTTGTGTTTTTTCCTTTTGGTGGTGTTCCTAGCGATGTCTAGGGTTGTAGGAGAGCTTATCTACCTCTTAAAAAGTAGATCATCATCTTTATCTTACTTGTTTTCATTTGTTTTTCGTAAGAGCAACCCTCATTTGAGGCTTTCCCTTTATCTACTGTCGTTTCGTAGTCAATTGCTTGTTGATTTTGGTTCTGAAGCGTAACAGAAATTTCTCTTAACCCTAAATCTAAGATTCACAACTCAATCTCATGAATATGCCTAACCCTAGACATAACAAGCTTATTTATACCCAACAATAATAGTAATAATAATAAAAGACTAAATTGCTCTTAGGCGTACAAAAGATAAATTTGCTCTTAGGCTAGGCTCCAACGTAACAATAATCCCACCAAAAGACACGTTGTCCTTAAGGTGAAAAAAAGTGAGAGTGTTCCACCTCCCCCATAATTGTCTCTATTTCTTCATTCTCTCTCTCCTTGTCATGCACAATAAGAATTTGTAATTTTAGATCTTTGAACTATGTCCTGGGGTAAACTTCTCATCACACCAAAAATAAAACTTCTTGACTCGCTTCTCTCGAATCTATGACTTTGTAAGGCGCTTGAGTGTTGCTCATGGTCGAGGTCCATTATTTGTGTCCTGAGCAGCCAACCTCTGAACTTCCACAGTCTGAGCTTTTGGTATGGTTGTGGTTGTAGCAATTTGGTCTGGCATTCCATCTGTGTTGCTTCTGTCAAGCTTCATTTGATTCTTGTCCTCTACTGTCTGAGCTAGCTCTATCTTCTCACTCAATCCCCTTGGTCTCAATAGTCGGAGTGATGCTCGTATGTTGGGCTTTAGGCCCTTCATAAAATTTCCTTCCAATCCCGCTTCAGAAATCGCCCTCAGCTGTCTCGACAATAGTTCATATCTTTCCATGTATTCCATGATAGTTCTCTCTTGAGTTAAGGCCTATAATTGCTCATGTTGGTCATTTTACTGAATTGCTCGGCAACTTTCCAACAAACTATCCTTGAATACCTCCCACGAATAGATTAGGTATCTAGACTCCCTCCACTGAAACCAAACTAGAGCTTTCTCTTCCAAACATAACCCTACCCCCATAAGTTTCTCCTCCCCATCTAGCCCATTCACCGCAAAATATCGCTCTACCCGATACACCCACCAACGTGTGTCTTTCCTCTCGAAGATCGACACTTTAACTTTCTAAATCTAACATCTCCACCCCAACTTCCTCTTACTCCATTTTTTCCTCCATATATCGAGGGTAAAACTCTCCTTCAATTGTGGTCATATCCCCTCTCTGCTTCTATCATTTTCGATGTGTACATTAGCCCAAGTTTTCATCTAGATATCAACCACCGAATTTCTCCTTATTTTCTTCTAACTCAAGCACCTGATAATAAGGAATCCCTTGTTGAAATTAGTTGTAAAATTCCTCACTAGTTCGTAAAGAACTTATAAAAGAGAACAAATTAGCCATACTTTTAGTGCTCATACCATCTGCTTCTTATGCAAATTTCAATTAAAGATACAAAATAACCAAAGACCAAATTCCTCCTTACTTTTGCTCTACCTCAAGCACCCAATAATAAGCAACCCCCCACAAAAGATTAGTTATCAAATCCCTCGCCAGTTCATATCACAATTAATAGAAGATAACAAATTTGCCCTATGTTTAGTGCTAAAACATTATAAATTTCTGCAAATTTAAATTAAAGAAACTAAATGCTCTTTTTACATATTGTATTGAACATACTTCAAAATGACAAGATTGACAGATTGATACCAAAATGATGACCACAATAGCCAAGCTACAACAAATAAGCCCAGGCAAATTGCTACTTGGAATATACGGGACAAATGTCGACCACATAACCTGCATCAAATGAGATGAATGAGCACACACATCTAATCTTCACCACCATCACAAAAACATCTAAAACTCCACTAATTCCCACAAACTCACCTGTGGAAGAACAGAAATTCCCACAATGGTGATAAAATCCTCCCAAATCTGCCAAACCCATTGTAGAAGCCATCCATAATAGTTCATGAAGTTCAGCACAAGCCCAGCAACAACAGCAGCCGACGTGGCCGTAAACTGCAGTAAAGGCATCGCTCCGGCAACGGCAAGCTGCACAATCACAATGTAGATAGATACAACACCCAATGTTTGAACTAATATGGCCTCCTTCTCTTTCTTTTTAGCAAAGTAGGAGAGCAATGTGAGATTTCCAAGTAGACAAGTAAGCATCCCCTGCATCATATTTCTTTCAACAGATTACTTATATTCAGGTTAGCTGCACGTAGAATTTAGTAAATTTTGAAAATTTTGGATTTAGTAAAGCTTAAGAGGGATTAAAATACGAAAATTGTTTGACATGACAAATGTTAAATCTTCTTATATCTTAAGGAAATTTAAATGCCTAGCACACAATTCTTATGTATTTATTAACTTTTTATATTTACACACATGGTACTTTGGTGCTTTAAGCCTATGCATCATGAAATGGTGCATTTTATTTTAAAAAATGGTAAAAGTGCTATTTTTGTATGTGTAGATATAACACTCATATTTTAAAAGTGGTAAAGATTTGAGTATTGTATGTGTAAATATGAAAGATTTGAGTGTTGTATGTGTGAGATTAAAGATTTGAGTGTTGTAGGTGTGATACTAAAGATTTGAGTGTTGTATGTGTGAGATTAAAGATTTGAGTGTTGTAGGTGTGATATTAAAGATTTGAGTGTTGTATGTGTGAGATATGTAAATATCTCATAAGAATTTTGCGCTAGGCATGTAAATTTCTGTTATAAGTTATATTAAAAAATAATTTATTCCTAGTAGAAGTTATGAGGATTAGATTTATTTTCTTGGATTGGATTTATTTACTTTCCTATTGTATGATGTTTCATTTACAATAGTTATGATGTTTCATATTATGTGTAAATATGGATTTATTTACTTATCCTAGTAGAAGTTATGATGTTTCATATTAATTATGTTCAAATAATTAATATGAATTGATTAATTGGAGATATTAGGTGTTATATCTTTCCTTTCCTGTTATTTTCTTTTTATTGTCTTGCCTATTCTACGATTCATGTAGGGATTATTTATGCCTCATATTCATATCAATAAAAATATTTCTAAATTTCAACAATTTTGCATTTTTTTATTGGCTCAATATATTAAGAATTGGAATGTCTTTTAAGGAAATGCTTTTGCAATCACTAGGTATGCCTGATTTGTGAAAGAAACGAGTTCTTACAGTCATTTATTTTTTTCTTACTCTTATGTTTCTATTCAGAACAATGCTGAGAAAGCTTACAAGAAGGTTACTCGGTTAAAGGGAGCCGTTATTAATAAAAAATGCCTACCATTCAGATACAGATGTGGACTTTGTGGAGGTGCATCCAATTCTTTCAAGCTGTATAATGAAGAATTTGAGCTTGGTGCAAAAAGAAGTGATTTCAAGTATTCAGATTCAAACATAAAAGAGAAGGTATCATTAGTATTCTAAGCATCAATGCCTTGTGAATTACTTACAGAACTTGTGTTAGTTTTCGATTTTGATGCCAATGTTCTACTATATGCAACAAGGTCCTTTTCATGTTTTTTTTTTTTTTCCTTTTCTCGCATGTACTAAAATGCACACAAAGGCATGAGACTCGTCCTGAAGTGTAAACTAAATCAATCATCTGAAGAAGGTCAAATGCCTACATAAAGGCTTGTTTTGTTTTTTAAAATAAAACTTTTGATGAAATGAAGTCAATTACCATCACTATCTAGCCCTGACGTCATCAGTGTGAAACCAATAATTTTGTTGTCATTTCATTCTTGATAAATGTATAAATGTGCCTGGATGTCAATTAAGTTGGATTGGGCGATAAAGGATTAAGAATACTCTTTATATATAAGTTGTGGTCTTAGGATAGTGAAGCTTGTAAAATCAGCGTTAGAAATCACAGTGCTGATCTATTTATGGGAAATTTACATACCTGGCATACAATTCTTTTGTATTTATATATCTCACACCTAAACTTTCATATTTACATGCATGGCACTTTTGTCTCTAAATCCTATCCTTGAAAGGTGTATTTACTTTCAAAAAGTGATAATAGTGCTCTTTTTTTGTGTTGTTAAAGATTTGAGTGTTATGCGTGTTAATATGAATGTTTAGGTGTGAGATGTGTAAATGCATTAGAATTGTGTGCTATCTATGTAAATGCCCCTATATTTATTACTATTGAATATGTACTAGCATAATATGTACTCTGTTGAAAGATTTAAGACAAGTTTCTGGGAGGTTACTTTTAATTGAAAAGCTGCCAAGAATGCTTGTATGAAGATTAATACTGAGTTATTTGGCTTTCACTTTCTTATATTCCTATGTTTGTTTTCTCCTTTTATATTTATGTAATTCGTTCAGTAACTTTTACAATATTTTGTATTTTAATTAGAAGCTCGCCTAAGCCATGGTTATTGTCTTAATGCAACAATATCTCATGTCTGTTGCTGTAGTACTTTCTTTTGTTGGGTAAACTTGATGCGTGATTTTACAAGTTGGCTGTATGGTTAAATTATATATTCAATATTATTATTTCTTGTTTCAACTGATTGATCATTAAGTTTAAGGCTGTTTTTCCGTTTTTGCACAGGAATGTGGTGCTGCTTTTGTATTTTTTAGAACACGGTATGCAGCTGTTGTTACGTCAGAGGTTCTTCAGTCATCCAATCCCATGCATTGGGTTACTGATCTTGCCCCTGAACCGCATGATGTTTATTGGTCCAATCTTTGGATTCCATACAGACAGCTCTGGTTCCGCAAGATAGCAATACTTGTTGCCAGCATTGTTTTTATGCTTCTGTTTCTTATTCCAGTCACTTTTGTGCAAGGTCTAACCCATTTGGACCAGTTGCAGCAGCTATTCCCCTTTCTAGATGGTTTACTAAAGAAGTATGTATCGTATCTCTGTGTTTCTGAACTTTGTTTTAATTTTGTTTCTTAGTTTTTGTACCCAAGTAGAGGCTTTGCTTTTCAGTTGTGAACACTTGATTCTATTTTTCCTGCAAATGTTTAACTTTTTCAGCATATAAAATATCAGAACACTCCTACTGTCAACAACAATGTAATATGCTTACTGTATGCAGGAAGTTTACAATCGAGATAGTGTCAGGCTACCTCCCTAGTGTCATTTTACAATTGTTCCTATATATTGTTCCACCCGTGATGCTGCTATTTTCTTCTGTTGAAGGGTCCATCTCGCATAGCACCAGGAAAAGGAGCGCTTGTTGGAAAGTGCTCTACTTCAACATTTGGAATGTGTTCTTTGTAAATGTCTTCTCTGGATCTTTGATCAGCCAGATAAATGCCATATCTAGTCCAAAGGACATCCCAACTGAGCTCGCGAAAGCTGTGCCGAGTCAGGTGATTTCTTTTTTTTTTTTTCTTTTTTTTGGAGTATAGTGCCGAAGTAGTCCCTTTTCTTATTTATATGGGGTCATTTAGTCCAAAGTTTATAAAAGTCTAAAATTAGTTCTCAATTTTTTTTAATATAGTATGAAATAGTTCATAGATAGGACTAAAGTGCTAACTCTTGTTTAAACTAAATTAAGCATTAATCTTCATTTTGCTGTTATTGCAGGCTACCTTCTTTATCACTTATGTCCTAACCTCAGGTTGGGCAAGTTTATCCTCTGAAGTAATGCAGCTCTTTGGCCTTATATGGAACTTCATAAAGAGGCATATTTTAAGATGGAAGGATGATCCAGTCTCAGTTCCATCATTTCCTTATCATACTGAAATTCCAAGGGTTCTTTTATTTGGACTTCTTGGCTTCACCTGCTCCGTACTAGCGCCATTAATATTACCTTTCTTGCTGGTCTACTTCTTCCTTGGATATGTTGTTTATCGCAATCAGGTGAGATCTTAGCCCTGGCCTGTAAATTCTTGTATTGTGATATAAGAATAAATTTTATATTTATTTGCTGAAGCTCCTTATGAACTCTATATTTTGAAAGAATACTATAGCTTAATGCTTTTATTTGTGAAAAATGCAAATATTTCTATTAACTTGATCGTTTTAAATTAGTGTTCTTTCTCAGTTTTTTATTTTGTAGTCTGAAATTTGCTTAGCTCTTTGAGAGG